TCATTTTGATGCATAATTTTGTGAAAATCTACCAAATAAAACATAAAAATCACTGTGTAAAATTAAAAGGAGATGGCCTAAGCTACCAGAATAATTTATTGTCTTTAGAAGTAGTTGAAGACAAGCATTACTGAATGCTGTTATGTAGGTGAAACAAAGAAGGGCTTCAATGATTAATTACAACATTATGAAATGCGTGAAAGGCCCCCTAACGATATAACATGACTTTTTTTGTGTTTGCGTTTTTCCAGAGATTAAAGAACCTCTCCAAGCATATACAAGTACGTTGTACTTGGCAAGTGTATTTCCAGTAGTTAAAAAACAATTCCCTTAGCACACGCTATTCAACGGAGAAACACACAAATTCTAAGTTTGAAAACAAATCTCCATATTCGTTATTTCACAAGTTTTACTGATGTTAGCGATTATGAATCTGTCTCACTAACAGCTAGTGTACTCAGCTGATAACTCAATACATTTTCATCATTACAAGATTTAATTTTGTGTTGTATTGGCTTATAACATATAGTTATTTCTGCTAAGTTTGTTAAATAGGCATATTCTCATTAATTCATGAAGTTTTTTTATTGTTTCATTAACGATCTGTATAGTTAGCTTACTTTTGATCAGAAATTCTTAACAATTTGCTTAAATAGCGGTTATTCCTGATCATGCCAAGGGTAAGCAGCTGTAGAACACGTCTAAAGTAAATTTAAAACTGTCCACTAATCAATATGCATATTTAGTGTAGTTCACATACAGTTTAAAACAAGAGACTACCTTCCATCTCTGGTTTATTCGTACACAATTCCTTATAAAACTCTGACAAAGAGTAAACCAAGCTTACTTCTTCCCAGACTGAATAGTCTACAAACTAAGTTGTTACCGCTAATAACAATACCCAGCCGGTGAGTGGTTAAGGCAGCGTGAGCCCAGAGACACGGCTTCTCCAGCCAGAAGGACCGTCCATCTCACTCTGTCGCCAGGTCTTCGTAATACTTCATTAATGACGGAGCTAGAAAGTAAAGACACTACGACCTAATTACGCCGAGACAAGGGTCATTAGTTGCGGTAATTTTCTCTTGATCAGCTAATTCTCCCACTATTATCTTAGAACACCGCGGCTATATGCTCAACAGCAGAAATATATTTTCTACTCGAAAATGGTTAAGACGAGTATGTTATTAACTGTCGTCTTCCTCGTCAAATTTTGTACGGTTTTGAAGGCAATGCTTTGAAATAATTCAATAAAGATTCTTGTAAAGCTAATTTGATACCCAAAAATAAACAGAACAACCCCTTGTCAACAATATAAGAAAACCAAATGCCAACAAAGAAAGTCTGCTAATTCCCATATTTTTACAATGTACAAAGGAAGGTAAACGTTTCATATACAAACAGCCTCTTCTGAAGCTACAAATAAAAACTGAACAAAAGCTGTTAGGTCAAGAGTTTTAATTAGGCAGCCGGAGGTTACTGATCTCTATAATTACGGCCATAATTCAATACCGTCTTGCGACAAAAAACTCTCTCGGTCGACTAGCAGGGTAATATGGCGTACGGCGAGAATAACTAGGTCCGTATCACACCTACTGGTTAAATCCCCATTAGAGCGTTGTGATAATGGCGAGACTAGACTAAAGGCGCGAGCGGAGAAATGATCCGTTGAAAAGCTGACAAAATAGCTGGAATCCTGGAAGCCGACAACACGAAGATTACCTAGCCCTAGACAAAGGTTTGGTCTCGAGTTAGGCTGCTTAATGGATGGGATTAAAACAGCCTCCTTAACTGCTAAAAAGCAGCGTTAAGTTTAGAAATAATCGGTCTTTCATGCACGGTGGACCGGGCACAGTACGTCGTCAGTGTTGTGAAGCAAAATCGTGCTGACCTCCCTTCCACATGCACCAGTCCTATTGCAAGATATCATATAGCTGACTATGTCTATTTTTTTAGAGAAAAATACTTCTTAAAAAACAAATGACCCCTCCATCATCAACATCAACTATATGCATGCATTGTCACTTATATTATTACAACATTTGTTCGATTTCTTTGTATAGCAGTTTCCACTCTTTAAAACACGAGCAAAAAAAAACTAAGAAAATGTTATACCTAGCAATCAGTCAGGGTTACATGGTAATCACTTTTTTAAGCCTTATACACCAGTACAGTACAACATTATATATATAAAGAAAAAAAGTCAAACTATTTATGTTACGCATTACTAATGACAAAAAGCACGAGTATAATCTATATTTCATATATAATTCTCTTCGGTTTTTGATTAGAACGGAATCGTACTTTTTATACAAAATTCCCTTATTCAAATTATATTATTTTTCTATTATTCTTTCAAATAATTTCCTTATGAGAGAGACTTTCATTTCTACCTGTTGCTGCGTCACATGTTGACCGTAGTTCAAATAAACTCATCACCCATTTAGAACTCGTGCCTGTGGTTAAGAAAGATACAATATTCTCTTTGTAGTTTAGGATCCCAACTCCCCCGGAATGGATTGTTTTGGAATTTTGTTTGTTTTGGAATTTCGCGCAAAGCTACACGAGGGCTATCTGCGCTAG